AGAACAGAACAGCCTCTGTCCCCTCCAAGCCTCCTCCAGAGCAAACCATTGATACAGTGTTACATAAGATGCCTATTTCTTATCCAGAGCACAGAGAGAGAAGAGAGAAAGAGAGAGATCCTCTTCATACCATCTCTGTGCACCTAATGGTTTTATACAGCATGGAGACAGAGGCTGTGTGTCACAAATGACACCCTATTCCCTATATTGTACACTACTTTTGACCAGGGTCCATAGGACTCTGGTCAAAAGTAGTACACTATATTTGGAATAAAAAAGTAGTGCACTACAAATGGAAAAGGGTGCCATTTGGGACTCATTCATAACATTGTGTAGTGGAGCTCGATTAAATACCCTGGTAAATACCATTGTATGTCCAGACATATATTATTAACCAAATATTTATGTAATGATCTGACAAGGGAAGGGGGATAATTTACGTAGCTGATGATGCGCTCCCCCTCGCGCTTCAAAGTGAAGTGAAGCTCGAGCTAGATACCTCTCCCAAAGGAGCGCGCGGCGCAATCACGTTGAAGATCATTTTGTATTATGAGAGAAAATTGGAATTGGGAATTCGCTCTGTTTTTCCCTTAATCGTCTTGATTTGGCGTTATAACGCGCCTCTGTCAAACAAAATGATAGCAGTCAATGGCTTGATACAAGAAACAGAAAGAGAAGACGCCACAGCATCAGCCTTGATTGTGCACGCAAGGATGTCCGTACAAGTGCGCCAGTGAGCGTGTGTTTTGAATTCAAATGGGAACCAACACACACCAACCATCCATGGCCGAAAAAAAATCAAAATGCAGAGCCTGAGACGGAGCTCAAGCCCACTGAATGATAGAACACTATTCAACACGAGAATCGATTCCTTTATAGAATCAAACTATCATCAGACTCCCCCACGTCATTACCATAATTCACCATAATGCAGAACGTGACGTGCATTAAGTTCCCTGTCAAACATGGATGACAATGCGTTATAGGTTTGTCTATACGAATATACTCAGCCAGGCATACTGAGAATAATAAGGATTGACGTACCATATTGACTTCAGACACCATGTCTATGCTGGCTATGTCTATGTTCATCCCCACTGCCACCGGCGCACCTGTGCAGCGAAGAAAAGCAAGTTATTAAAGGAGAACGGGATTATTTCTGTCCCTATTGGAAATAAGAATTTGGTGACCGTTATTCTACCAGTAGGTTGCTGTCAATGATAGATCACCATGTTCTCTCATCATCAATGTAAATAATACATGTTTTATGCAGTCTTAATGATCATCATCGTCAATTAAAAATGACTATAATCATCAGCATCATTATTTGGAACTCCCTTGATGATTTTCGTTTCAGACAGAATGATAGGCAACCAGAAGTTCCATGGGCTACCCGCTGCGAATAGAATCGATCATCAAGTTAGAGACCCGTCTTCTCCATACAGAATAGGCTAGCATGTCTTATTTAATCATTTGAAGGTGGTACATTGGAAAAGGTTTTTGGTGACGTGAAAAATACGTATTTTATTTGGATGGTAGACTATTACCCTGTAATAGCACTGCAATTGGAGAGGTAGCCTAGTCTATGGATGGAAGATTTATCATGATGAGAAAAATTGTACCCGACGTTTTTGCAGCAATTCATTAAGCATGTATAGCACTGCACGTCATAAATGGCAGCAAACATGACATTCAACATTTCGATTTGCTTTCCTTTCGCCTTTCTTCTTACCTCCGAAATCTGGCCTCAACCTAATGTCGTAGCCTTTCATCAGTCTGTCGACCGTGTCTTTAACCAGCGGCATATTACTGGGATCCCTCAGATCTTTGGCGCTGAGGGGAAAGACAGAACAGAAGGTGGTCGTCATGCAAATACCTTATTAAAGGCATGATACAGCGGGAAGGCGCGTTAAATAGCCTAGGATACATGCCATGCAATGAGATTGAAGAATGCGCGTAAAAACACAAACCCCAATTTACCTTTGCACACAGCAGATAAAAGTAAAAAAGAACAAAAATGTCAAAATTCCAAAGTGGTTTTTCCTGAGCTTCCCCATTGTAACAGGTTTGATGTGCTTTCGGGATGCGAGTGAGGAAAACGCACATCCAACTTACTCCAGAAAGCTCCGAGATCACCCAATGAGGGGCGCATGCGTACATCCTACCAGAAGATCAAACACCGGCGAGTGATAATGGTGGATGAGCGGTTTCCATTGCAGAGAAACAAATTAAAAGGACAAGTGGATGAAGAAAAAAAAATCTTATACCATCCGGACCAGACCACTGGAACCGAACAGCCGAAATACAATTAGTATCATTCCAGTTTAATCCTTATATTGGCTTATGTCGATAGTTCAGAGAACTCTGCAATGAACATGGGCAAACCAATTAATAAAATCAATAGGATATAGTGTATTAATAATACAATCAATAGGATATAGTGTATTACAGTATTATACATTATTGTCAGATTCTCACAAATTTAAGGTAAACAAAAGTTTATTGTGTCAAATGTTGGGACAATCAGTATAATTTCACATAGAATGTTGGTAGCAAGACATTAAATCATTACATTTACAGACACACATCACATCAAGTCAGACAAGATGATAACATTCATAAAACATATAAAAACATTACAATCATGTGATAGCCAACATTGGTCTTGCACTTCATGTGCTAAGAATGAAGGAAAAAAAACAGTGCCATTGAAACCCCTTCCAATCAAAACTTGTCTAAAAATGTTTACCTTGCACATATAACCATATGTATTGCACAACCCTAGCTTAGAGCAGTTCAATTCATTCACTCAATTCAAACATTGCTGCCTATGACCAATAGCCACACAGCCCTACCTATAATACAATCATCCAGATATTACATCCAATTCTAAATATGGTCCCTGAATATTTTAAAGAGGCTACACAAACACAGCAGCTGTAATAGAAATATCATATCAACATAGAAAATAAAAAGCAATACAATAAAAGCCAAGGTAATCCCCAGGTTCCGTGCATGCAGTGTTTTCATCTGTGTATTATCTGTGTATTATGAATCATCAGTGTTTTAAAGCCCCCATGCAGTCTTTTTTATTTTATTTTTAAATCATCACTGTATGTGTAACAAATCACTGTGTGTGTTTATTTCATGAAAATAACTCCAAATATATTTTGTATAATTTATTTCCCTGTGCCTCCTTTTTCCATTGAAATGCTCAGTCTGATCGTGTGGGTGTGTTGATACAAAATTAAATATATTTACATACACAGCCCTGATTGGCGGATAGGATAGTCTAGACTCTAGAGTCTACCCCGCTTACCCCTTCAAAGTAGGAGGATACATATGCAAATTAAAGATGACTGGTCATTGGTCAGAATAATCGGATCAGATTGGGATGTCATGCTGTGGGCCAAAAACTCCATAGATGCGGTAAAGGAATCAATGGAACGCAGACCATATTTGTCAAAGCCGTCATGATTGATGTATTGTAACAGGCCCACAATGTGGTTACTTAAGTCCGATTTGGATATATTTGGCTGTTTTCGCTGTATAACATTTAGAATTTATCCCTTTTCAAGTTTAGAAGAAGTGACTGTTAAATGCTAACTCCCGTTCGTAAAAGCTGGTTAGCATAGCTAGCATACAGAAATCGGTGGTGGTAGTCAGTCGTTGTTTAACTGTAATGCAGTTGATTGGTGACGATTACATGAACATGTGTTGGGGTTGACATCCATACAAGCATTATCCTCCAATTTTTACCTCAACATAATGTGAAATACACATAAACAATAGGCTAAATGTAGGGTAATTTTGCTGGGGGGCAATGAGGACATTCAGAATCTTTCCCCCAGGGTGTTTCCGTGGCAATTCCATTGTTTTGGTTGAGTTCGATTGACTTCTTTACCGCATCTATCCCACCTGAACAGGCTGAAATTCAAGACCTAAATAGAATAAGTACAGGGACAGAGGGGAGGAGAGGAGAGGAGAGGAGAAGAGAGGAGAGGAGAGAGAGGGAGTAGAGGAGAGAGAGGAGAGGAAGAGAGAGGAGAGGAAGGAGATTAGGAAGAGGACGTCCTCTCGCGGTCGTCTCTTTATCTCTCTTTTTTTTGTCTTCGCTTTCTTTTTCTCTCCTCACTTCTTAGAGGATTTTTCTCTCGAGGAGGAGGAGAGGAGAGGGAGAAGGAGAGGGGCTTCGTTTTTTCTTCCTGAGGTCTCTTGCTTCTCTTCTCCTACTCTACAGGATAGAGGGGTAGGGAGCGGAGAGGAGTAGAGGAGAGGAGAGGGGCTCCTCTTCATGTCTCTTTGATCAGTGTTGTAGTGGGGCCTGTGACTTTATAGAGCACAGGAGGCTTCTGAACAGCATTGGTTCACTGTTGCATCACCAGTTACAGACATCATAGATTATATCATCCATTTCTTTTTGATATGTGTGTTTGTGTGTGTGTGTGTGTGTGTGTGTGTGTGTGTGTGTGGTGTGTCTTTAGGGATGCTGGAGAATCAGAAGTACCAAATGCATCCATGTTTAAAGCATCGCTCTGCCAAGGACAAGAACATCTCTTCAATTACTGATCCCAGCAGGTCTGGGCAGAACAATATGTGAACAGAATAGACATGGGGTCTGAAAATAAATTAGTTTTTGTATTCATTTCCTGTGTGGACTGAAAGTAATGTGAACGTTGAGTACTTGTTGGTAGAGCGAAGGCCAGAGATGAATGAACAAGGTGTCTACAGAACACGCCCCGTAGATGACACATCAGTTGGAGCAAGGGGCTCAATCCTCTCTGCAAGGACAGAAACACACAGAGACAGAATCACACAACATGAAGGATGAGAGAAGGGCAAATCACACACACAGAGAAAGTTTAAAGATGTCGATATATTTATGATATACTGCAAATTACAGTAATGCTCTCTCTATATATACTTCAAAGGTACCAAGTCAGAGACTCTATGCCCTCTGTCCTCTGAATAAACTCTTGAAAACTCCAAAGTCAGAGACTTTAAGAGTTGAAGACATCAGCTTCAGTAGCTATAACAGGGTCCACCATCTTGTCTCTGTCCTTAACAGGGTCCACCATCTTGTCTCTGTCCTTAACAGGGTCCACCATCTTGTCTTTGTCCTTGTGGTGCAGCACGTTCTCAACAAAACAAGCATCAACATTCTGTGACATGAACATGATGGGCAGGTTTACACTACACACTCTTACATAATGACTGCTCCCTGTGTGTGTGGTCTGTGTGTGGTCTGTGTGTGGTCTGTGTGTGGTCTGTGTGTGGTCTGTGTGTGTGTGTGGTCTGTGTGTGGTCTGTGTGTGTGTGTGGTCTGTGTGTGTGTATGGTCTGTGTGTGGTCTGTGTGTATGTGTGGTCTGTGTGTGTGTGTGTGGTCTGTGTGTGTGTGTGTGTGTGTGTGTGTGTGTGTGTGTGTGTGGTCTATGTGTGTGTGTGTGTGTGTGTGTATGTGTGTGTGTGTGTGTGTGGTCTGTGCGTGTGTGGTCTGTGTGTGTGTGTGTGGTCTGTGTGTGTGTGTGTGTGTGTGTGGTCTGTGTGTGTGTGTGTGTGTGGTCTGTGTGTGTGTGTGTGGTCTGTGTGCGTGTGTGTGTGTGTGTGTGTGTGTGTGGTCTGTGTGTGTGTGTGTGTGTGTGGTCTGTGTGTGTGTGTGTGTGTGTGTAGTCTGTCTGTGTGTGTGTGTGTGGTCTGGGTGTTTCTCGCTCTCTTCTCATGTCTCTTCATCATCTCTAAGCCTCTCTCTCTCTTCTCTTCTCTCTTCTTTCATTCTCTCCATCTCTCTGTAGTCTCTCTGTAGTCTCTCATTATCTCTTGAGTCTCTCTGTAGTCTCTCTGTAGTCTCTCGTTATCTATTTGTAGTCTCTCTGTATTCTTATGTAGTTTCTCACTGTCTCTCTGTAGTCTCTCGCTATCCCTCTGTAGTCTCTGTAGTCTCTCTGTAGTCTCTCATTATCTCTCTGTAGTCTCTCACTATCTCTCTGTAGTCTCTATGTATTCTCTTGTTATCTCTCCGTAGTCTCTCACTATCTCTCTGTAGTCCTTCGTTATCTCTCTGTAGTCTCTCTGTAGTCTCTCTGTAGTCTCTTGTTATCTATTTGTAGTCTCTCTGTAGTCTTTCTGTAGTTTCTCACTGTCTCTCTGTAGTCTCTCGCTATCTCTCTGTAGTCTCTCTGTAGTCTCTCACTATCTCTCTGTAGTCTCTATGTATTCTCTCGTTATCTCTCTGTAGTCCTTTGTTATCTCTCTGTAGTCTCTCGCTATCTCTCTGTATTATCTCTATAGTCTCTCTGTAGTCTCTCGCTATCTCTCTGTAGTCTCTCACTATCTCTCTGTAGTCTCTGTACTCTCTCAATATCTCTCTATAGTCTCTCATTATCTCTCTGTAGTCTTTCGCGATCTCTCTGTGACTCTCTGTAGTCTCTCTGTAGTCTCTATGCAGTCTCTATGTAGTCTCTGTTTCTCTCTGTAGTATCTCTGTTGTCTTCTGTAGTCTCTATGTGGCCTTTCTCCCTCGTCTCTGTATCATCTATATGTACTGTATGTATGTGTGAATGTGTCTGTGTGTGTGTGTGTGCGTGTCTGTGTATGTGTGTATGTGTGTTTATGTGTCTATGTGTATGTGTTTATGTGTGTGTGTGTGTGTGTCTGTGTATGTGTGTATGTGTGTTTATGTGTGTATTTATGTGTGTGTGTGTGTATGTGTGTGTGTGTGTGTGTGTATGTGTCTGTGTGTGTGTATGTGTGTGTGTGTATGTGTTTATGTGTGTGTGTGTATGTGTCTGTGTGTGCGTGTCTGTGTATGTGTGTATGTGTGTGTATGTGTGTATGTGTGTTTATGTGTGTATGTGTATGTGTTTATGTGTGTGTGTGTGTGTGTGTGTGTGTGCGTCTCCCTCTTTCAGTCAGACACGGAGCATTGTGTTCTCTAAGTGGCTCAGTTATAAGAGGAGGAAAGTGAATAGTTGCATTTTATGTGGTTAGTGTTACAACGTAACAACCGGGGGTTTCTCTGGCTCTCAAATCCACCCCCCGGGGAGAAGGAGCATTATTATTAAAATGACTGTCTGCACCCTATTCCCTATGTAGTGCACTATTTCTGACAAAAGCTCTGGTCAAAAGTAGTGCACTATATAGGGAATAGGGTGCCATTGGGATGCACCCACTGCCTGGGGTTTTGCCAGCCCCCAGGTAAACCTTATGTAAAAGTAGAGGCGACTGTTTGATGCACATTATTTCTTTGCAAATTAATTGAGCTCCTTTTCTATGACTTGTGCTATACTCTAACTGATAAAAGCCCCACATATCCCTCTCTCGCTCGCTCTCTCTCTCTCTGCTCTCTCTCTCTGCTCTCTCTCTCTCTCTCTGTCTCTCCCTCCTTCCCCCTCTTTCTCTCTCTCTCTCTGCTCTCTCTCTCTGCTCTCACTCTCTCTCTCACTCTCTCACTCTCTCTGCTCTCTCTCTCTCTCTCTCTCTGTCTCTCCCTCCTTCCCCCTCTTTCTCTCTCTCTCTCTCTGTCTTCAGCTTAGTAGAGCAGCAACAGAACCATCTAACATCCTCCAGCTAGCGACCCCTTTCCCTTTCCCATGTTGGTCTACAACTCCAGGGGCTTTCCCTTTCCCATGTTGGTCTACAACTCCAGGGGCTTTCCCTTTCCCATGTTGGTCTACAACTCCAGGGGCTTTCCCTTTCCCATGTTGGTCTACAACTCCAGGGGCTTTCCCTTTCCCATGTTGATCTACAGCTCCAGGGGCTTTCCCTTTCCCATGTTGGTCTACAACTCCAGGGGCTTTCCCTTTCCCATGTTGGTCTACAACTCCAGGGGCTTTCCCTTTCCCATGTTGGTCTACAACTCCAGGGGCTTTCCCTTTCCCATGTTGGTCTACAACTCCAGGGGCTTTCCCTTTCCCATGTTGATCTACAGCTCCAGGGGCTTTCCCTTTCCCATGTTGGTCTACAACTCCAGGGGCTTTCCCTTTCCCATGTTGGTCTACAACTCCAGGGGCTTTCCCTTTCCCATGTTGATCTACAGCTCCAGGGGCTTTCCCTTTCCCATGTTGGTCTACAACTCCAGGGGCTTTCCCTTTCCCATGTTGGTCTACAACTCCAGGGGTTGTTCCAGCGGCAGACATTATTCATGTCTTTACTGTCTGGATAAAAGTATTTGACAAAAAACAGTGGTTAGTAATTGTTCTGCTGCTGCAGATCATCACCAGAGAGCAGAAGGCAGAGTTACATACAGTGGGTCTGTGTTGTGTTGTTGATACAGATTCAGAATGGTCCAATATGCAGCTGAAACAGTGCGTGTCCCAAATGGCACCCTATGGACCCTGGTCAAAAGTAGTGCACTACGTAGGGAACGTGGTGCCATTTGGGAGACTGACAGTGAATTTACATAAGTCTGTGTTGTGGATATAGAATAGTCAAATATAAAACAGGCAGTCTTCAGTAACACTGACGAGAAGGTGCTAACATTTTTATTTATTTATTTTTATTTCACCTATATTTAACCAGGTAAGCCAGTTGAGAACAAGTTCTAATTTACAATTGCGTCCTGGCCAAGATAAAGCAAAGCAGTGCGATAAAAACAACAACAACACAGAGTTACATATGGGGTAAACAAAACGTACAGTCAATAACACAATAGAAAATCTATATACAGTGTGTGCAAATGTAGTAAGTTATGGAGGTAAGGCAATAAATAGGCCATAGTGCAAAATAATTACAATTTAGTATTAACACTGGAGTGATAGATGTGCAGAAGATGATGTGCAAATAGAGATACTGGGGTGCAAATGAGCAAAATAAATAACAATGTAAATAACAATATGGGGATGAGGTAGTTGGGTGGGCTAATTACAGATGGGCTGTGTACAGGTGCAGTGATCGGTAAGCTGCTTTGACAACTGATGCTTAAAGATAGTGAGGGAGATAAGAGTCTCCAGCTTCAGAGATTTTTGCAGTTCGTTCCAGTCATTAGCAGCAGAGAACTGGAAGGAATGGCGGCCAAAGGAGGTGTTGGCTTTGGGGATGACCAGTAAGATATACCTGCTGGAGCGCATACTACGGGTGGGTGTTTGTCACGATCGTCGGTAAGAGATGAGGACCAAGGCGCAGCGTTGCAGACGAACATACTCTTTATTTATGATACACGATCAAAACAACAAAACGATAACGTGACAGTTCACGGTCTAACACAAACCAACTAGAAACAAGAACCCACAAACACAAAGGGAAAAACAGACAGTTTAAATATGGCTCCCAATCAGAGACAACCAGCCACAGCTGACACTCGTTGCCTCTGATTGGGAGTCACTCAGGCCAACATAGAAATAAACAAACTAGAACTCCCAACATAGAAATAGAATACATAGATCTACACACCCTGGCTCAACATAACAGTGTCCCCAGAGCCAGGGCGTGACAGTACCCCCCCCTAAAGGCGCGGACTCCGACCGCGCCAACTAAATACCACAGGGGAGGGACCGGGTGGGCACTCCGCCTTGGCGGCGGATCCGGCTCCAGGCCTGATCCCCACTCCCTCTCCAACCCCCCAAAGTACCCCTGGTCCGGTCTGGCCCCGCTGGCCGGAGCTGGACTGCACACTGATGGAGCGGATTGCTCTAGCTCCGGCGTAACGCATCTGACCGGTGCCGGACCAGGCACCAGTGGAACAGGCACGGGCCGTGCCGGACTGACGACACCCACCACTGGCTTGGTGTGGAGAACAGGCACGGGCCGTGCTGGACTGACGACGCGCACCATTGGCTTGGTGTGGGAAGCAGGAGCGGACCGGACCGGGCTGACGATGCGCACCCCTGGCTTGGTGCGTGGAGCAGCAACGGGCCGGACCGGGCTGACGATACGCACCCCTGGCTTGGTGCGTGGAGCAGCAACGGGCTGGACCGGGCTGACGACTCGCACCCCTGGCTTGGTGCGAGTGGCAGGAACAGGCCGGACCGGGCTGGCGACGCGCACCATAGGCTTGGTGCGGGGAGCAGGAACAGGCCGGGCCGGGCTGGCGAATCGCACCATAGGCTTGGTGCGAGGAGCAGGAACAGGCCGGGCCGAGCTGGCGACGCGCACCGTAGGCTTGGTGCGAGGGACAGGAGCAGGCCGGCCCGGGCTGGCGACGCGCACCGTAGGCTTGGTGCGAGGAGCAGGAACAGACCGGACCGTACTGGGGACACACACCACTGGCCCTACACCGGGATCTGGAACGGGCCGGACCGGACTGGTAACACACCCCAGTACCTCTCGCCGTGCCTCTACACCTTCCATCCCCTCTTCGACCAGTGGCCCCCGTAACCTGGCGGCCTCCTCTGCCAACCCGCTGGACCGCTCTATCGCGGCCTCCTGCTGCCCCGACGTCGTGAGCCCCCCCCTAAAAATGTTCTGGGGGTCTCTCTTCCCCGTGGGCCAGGCCTCTATAGTTCTCGCCCAACTCTCGCTCTTCTGCTTCCAACTCCCGCCATTCAGCTCCTCATTTGGCTTGACCCAGTTGAAGCTCTTCCTCCACTGTTCCCAAGTCCACCCTCTCTGCTCCTCACTAGGCTTGACCCAGTCGAGGTTGCCACGGAGATCTGCTAGCAATTCCCCTGGCGATGGCTCCTGGACACGCTGCTTGGTCCAGTTTTGGTGGGTTCTTCTGTCACGATCGTCGGTAAGAGATGAGGACCAAGGCGCAGCGTTGCAGACGAACATACTCTTTATTTATGATACACGATCAAAACAACAAAACGATAACGTGACAGTTCACGGTCTAACACAAACCAACTAGAAACAAGAACCCACAAACACAAAGGGAAAAACAGACAGTTTAAATATGGCTCCCAATCAGAGACAACCAGCCACAGCTGACACTCGTTGCCTCTGATTGGGAGTCACTCAGGCCAACATAGAAATAAACAAACTAGAACTCCCAACATAGAAATAGAATACATAGATCTACACACCCTGGCTCAACATAACAGTGTCCCCAGAGCCAGGGCGTGACAGTGTTGCTATGGTGACCAATGAGCTAAGATAAGGCAGGGATTTGCCTAGAAGTGATTTATAGATGACCTGGAGCAAGTGGGTTTGGCGACGAATATGTAGTGAGGGCCAGCCAACGAGAGCGTACAGGTCACAATGGTGGGTGGTATATGGGGCTTTGGTGACAAAACGGATGGCACTGTGATAGACTACATCCAATTTGTTGAGTAGAGTGTTGGAAGCTATTTTGTAAATGACATCGCCGAAGTCAAGGATCGGTAGGATAGTCAGTTTTACGAGGGCATGTTTAGCAGCATGAGTGAAGGAGGCTTTGTTGTGAAATAGGAAGCCAATTCTAGATTTAACTTTGGATTGGAGATGCTTAATGTGAGTCTGGAAGGAGAGTTTACGGTCTAACCAGACACCTAGGTATTTGTAATTGTCCGCATATTCTAAGTCAGACCCGCTGAGAGTGGTGATTCTAGTCGGGTGGGCGGGTGCCAGCAGCGTTCGATTGAAGAGCATGCATTTAGTTTTACTAGTGTTTAAGAGCAGTTGGAGGCTACTGAAGGAGTGTTGTATGGCATTGAAGCTCGTTTGGACGTTTGTTAACACAGTGTCCAATGAAGGGCCAGATGTATACAAAATGGTGTCGTCTGCGTAGAGGTGGATCTGAGAGTCACCAGCAGCAAGAGCGACATCATTGATATACACGGAGAAAAGAGTCGGCCCAAGAATTGAACCCTGTGGCACCCCCATAGAGACTGCCATAGGTCCAGACAACAGGCCCTCCGATTTGACACACTGAACTCTATCTAAGAAGTAGTTGGTGAACCAGGCGGGTGCAGAGCTGGTGGCCGGGGTAGGGGTAGCCAGGTGGAAAGCATGGCCAGCCGTAGCAAAATGCTTATTGAAATTCTCGATTATCGTAGATTTATCGGTGGAGACAGTGTTTCCTAGCCTCAGTGCAGTGGGTAGCTGGGAGGAGGTGCCCTTATTCTCCATGGACTTTACAGTGTCCCAAAACTTTTTGGAGTTAGTGCTACAGGATGCACATTTCTGTTTGAAAAAGCTAGCCTTTGCTTTCCTAACTGCTTGTCTATATTGGTTCCTGACTTCCCTGAAAAGTTGCATATCGCGGGGGCTGTTCGATGCTAATGCAGTACGCCACAGGATGTTTTTGTGCTGGTCAAGGGCAGTCAAGTCTGGGGTGAACCAGGGGCTATATCTGTTCTTAGTTCTGAATTTTTTTAATGGGGCATGCTTATTTAAGATGGAGAGGAAAGCACTTTTGAAGAACATCCAGGCATCCTCTATTGACGGAATGAGGTCAATATCCATTCAGGATACCCAGGCCAGGTCAATTAGAAAGGCCTGGTCGCTGAATTGTTTTAGGGAGCGTTTGACATTGATGAGGGGTGGTCGTTTGACCGCGGACCCATTACGGACGCAGTTAATGAGGCAGTGATCGCTGAGATCCTGGTTGAAGACAGCGAAGGTGTATTTAGAGGGTAAATTAGTCAGGATGATATCTATGAGGGTGCCCATATTTACGGATTTAGAGTTGTACCTGGTAGGTTCCTTGATGATTTGTGTGAGATTGAGGCCATCTAGTTTAGATTGTACGACGGCCGGGGTGTTAAGCATATCCCAGTTTAGGTCACCAAGCAGTATGAACTCTGAGGATAGATGGGGGGCAATCAATTCACATATGGTGTCCAGGGCACAACTGGGGGCTGAGGGGGGTCTGTAGCAAGCGGCAACAGTGAGAGACTTATTTCTGGAAAGGTGGATTTTTAGAAGTAGAAGCTCAAACTGTTTGGGCACAGACCTGGATAGTATGATAGATCTCTACAGTAGATTGCAACTCCGCCCCTTTTGGCAGTTCTATCTAGACGGAAAATGTTGTTGTTCGGAATGGACATTTCTGAATTTTTGGTGGCCTTCCTAAGCCAAGATTCAGACACTGCAAGAACATCAGGGTTGGCAGAGTGTGCTAACGCAGTGAATAACTCAAACTTGGGGAGGAGGCTTCTGATGTTAACATGCAAGAAACCAAGGCTTTTACGGTTACAGAAGTCAACAAATGATAGCGCCTGGGGGGTAGGAGTGATACTGGGGGCTACAGGGCCTGGGTTAACCTCTACATCACCAGAGGAACAGAGGAGGAATAGAATAAGGATACGGCTAAAGGCTTTAAGAACTGGTCTTCTAGTGCGTTGGGTACAGAGAAGAGGGGCAGATTTCCGGGCGTTGTAGACTTGATTCAGGGCATTATGTACAGACAAGGATATGGAAGGATATGAGTACAGTGGAGGTACACCTAAGCATTGGGTAACTATGAAAGAGATAGCATCACTGGAGGTACCGATTGAGCCTGTCTCCGCTTTTATGGGGGGGTGGGACAAAGGAGCTCTCTGAGGCTGGTTGAGCTGAACTTGGGGCTCTACAGTGAAATTGTATAATAAGAACTAACCCAAACAGCAAATGGCTAGGCATATTGACATGGGAGAGAGGCATAACGCAATCACAGGTGTTATTCGAGAGGGCTAAGACAACAACTGGTAATGGCGACGAAAGTTTGGGCTGAGGCTAAACAGATAAACAGGATGAGGTACCGTGTAAAGGAACAGTCCAGCAGGCATCAGCTGTCTAGCTGAGTGATCATAACGTCCAGTGAACAGCACTTAGTAAGTCCGGGAGCAGATCGTAGGCTGCTAAAGCACAGGCGAGCAGGAGGCACGGCTGTTGATTACGCGTGCTAGCGGGCCGGGGCTAGCAGATGGATCTTCGTGGTCATCGCAACGGGAAGCCTGTTGAAACCACATCAGACGATTACGTCGGCAAATCAGTCGTGATGGATCGGTGGGGCTCCGTGTCAACACTAGCAGGTCCCGTCCGGTTGACAGAGAGGTAGATAGCCGGGAGATGGGCCTGGCTCGAGGCTAGCTCAAGGCTAACTGGGGCTAGCTTCGGACAGTGGTGATTAGCCAACAACAACAACAGCCACTCGGTTGCAGCTAGCTAGTTGCGATGATCCAGTGTTAAGGTCCAGTGATTCCGGCAGAAAATCCGATATGCTCTGGCTCGATAGCGCGATGTGCAGACTGGCCGATAATTGTCCAGGCTAGAGCTGGCTGGTAGGTAGTGCAGGCCACGGACAATGGTGAAGACCGCTAACGGTGGCTAATAGCAAGTAGCTAGTTAGCTGGCTAGCTGGCTAGTTTCAGCCAGAGGTTCTGGATAGAAAATAAATAATAGAATCCGTTCCACATTGGGTGAGGCGGGTTGCAGGAAAGTATATTTAGTTAACGGATGGAAAGTGAGATTGAGAAATATATACGAAAATATATACGAAAAAGACAACAACAAAAAAAACAGGCTATTTACATGAGGACACTATAGAAAACACGAACGCACTGCTACGCCATCTTGGATATCAGGCAGTCTTCAGTAACACCAATGAGAAGGTCCTAACATAAAACAGGCAGTCTTCAGTAACACTGATTAGAAGGTGCTAACATAAAACAGGCAGTCTTCAGTAACACTGATTAGAAGGTGCTAACATAAAACAGGCAGTCTTCAGTAACACCGATGAGAAGGTCCTAACATAAAACAGTCAGTCTTCAGTAACACTGATGAAAAGGTCCTAACATAAAACAGTGTCTTCAGTAACACTGATTAGAAGGTCCTAACATAAAACAGTCAGTCTTCAGTAACACCGATGAGAAGGTCCTAACATAAAATAATACATTAAAGGGCAATGTTTTGTTCTGTGACTGAAAAGTCACACTTTATCTGTTTATCATTGCAATGACACACCAGAGTCCTTCCACTCTGAATTATTTGTATGTTCTTTAGTATTTTTATGTAATAGACCAGGGGTATTCAACTCTGACCCTACGAGGTCCGGAGCCTTCTGGTTTACTGTTCTACCTGATAATTATAGATAAAAAACGCAGTGGAACTGGCTTTGAGGTCCAGAGTTGAGTTTGAGGGTCATAGACATTGGCCTGTTCCATGGTGTCCTAATAGAACAGAATAGAGACTTTATTAACTCATACCTGGCCTGTTCCATGGTGTCCTTGCCCAAGTATATGATCCAGTAGAACAGGTTGAAGAGTGCGAAGGCCAGGGGGAACATGATGCGGGAGTACTGGTCTATGGGGCTAGTGCCAGCCAGAGCTGGGTTGGGGGGCACAGCTGAACCCTGCTGCAGGAAGATGGGCAACGGGGGGCCAGTGTCCGTCTCACTCTGGGCTATGGAGTTATACCTCTTCTTCAGGCCCCCTCTCTCTGACGGGGGCTGGGGGAACAGAGTGGAGTGATGGTGTAGGGTTAGGGGTTGTTGAAGGTTAGAGGTGGACATAGAGGAGGGTTTGGGGTGGAGGGAGAGGAGGGTTTGGGGGGTGGAGGAAGAGGAGGGTTGGGGTGGGGGAAGAGGAGGGTTGGGTGGGGGAAAGAGGGAGGGTGGGGTGGAGGGTTATGGGGGTGAGGAAGAGGAGGGGGTGGGGGTGGAGGGTGAGAGGAGGCAGAGGAGGGGTGGGGGGGAGGGTTAGGGGTGGAGGAAGAGGAGGTGGGGGGGGGGAGGGGTAGGGGTTGAGGTAGGTTAGAGGAGGGGTGGGGTGGGGTGGAGGGTTAGGGTGGGGTAGAGGAGGGGTGGGGTGGAGGGTTAGGGGTGGGGTTTTAGAGGAGGGGTGGGGTGGGGTGGAGGGTTAGGGGTGGAGGTAGAGGAGGGGTGGGGTGGAGGGTTAGGGGTGGAGGAAGGGAGGGGTGGGGTGGAGGGTTAGGGGTGGAGGTAGAGGAGGGGTGGGGTGGGAGGGTTAGGGGTGGAGGAAGAGGAGGGGTGGGGTGGAGGGTTAGGGGTGGAGGTAGAGGGGGGTGGGGTGGAGGGTTAGGGTTTGAGGTAGAGGAGGGGTGGGGTGGGGTGGGGGTTGGGGTGGAGGTAGAGGAGGGGTGGGGTGGAGGGTTAGGGGTGGAGGTTAGAGGAGGGGTGGGGTGGGGGGTTAGGGGTGGGGAAGAGGAGGGGTGGGGTGGGGTGGGGTGGAGGGGTGGGGTGGGGGTGAAGGGTTAGGGGTGGAGGTAGAGGAGGGGTGGGGTGGAGGGTTAGGGGTGGAGGAAGAGGAGGGGTGGCGTGGAGGGGTGGGGTGGGGGTGGAGGGTTAGGGGTGGAGGTAGAGGAGGGGGTGGGGTGGAGGGTTAGGGGTGGAGGGGGTGGGGTGGGGTGGAGGGTTAGGGGTGGAGGTAGAGGAGGGGTGGGGTGGAGGGTTAGGGGTGGAGGAAGAGGAGGGGTGGGGTGGAGGGTTAGGGGTGGAGGAAGAGGAGGGGTGGGGTGGGGTGGAGGGTTGGGGTGGAGGTAGAGGAGGGGTGGGGTGGATTGGGCAGAGGATTGAAGAGAACAGGCAACAGGGATCATTAGTGTAGTAGAATTCCAAATCTAGAAGAGCTAATGCAACACCTCTGGGAGTAGCATCTGGATGCATACACATGTACCATGGAATCATGGAATAGAATACTACTGGAGTAGAGAGCATACATGTATCCACTCCTATAGTATGATGCTGCAGGTAATATGTACAGTGGGGGAAAAAAAGTATTTAGTCAGCCACCAATTGTGCAAGTTCTCCCACTTAAAAAGATGAGAGAGGCCTGTAATTTTCATCATAGGTACACGTCAACTATGACAGACAAATTGAGAGAAAAAAAATCCAGAAAATCCCATTGTAGGATTTTTAATGAATTTATTTGCAAATTATGGTGGAAAATAAGTATTTGGTCACCTACAAACAAGCAAGATTTCTGTCTCTCACAGACCTGTAACTTCTTCTTTAAGAGGCTCCTCTGTCCTCCACTCGTTACCTGTATTAATGGCACCTGTTTGAACTTGTTATCAGTATAAAATACACCTGTCCACAACCTCAAACAGTCACACTCCAAACTCCACTATGGCCAAGACCAAAGAGCTGTCAAAGGACACCAGAAACAAAATTGTAGACCTGCACCAGGCTGGGAAGACTGAATCTGCAATAGGTAAGCAGCTTGGTTTGAAGAAATCAACTGTGGGAGCAATTATTAGGAAATGGAAGACATACAAGACCACTGATAATCTCCCTCGATCTGGGGCTCCACGCAAGATCTCACCCGGTGGGGTCAAAATGATCACAAGAACGGTGAGCAAAAATCCCAGAACCACACGGGGGGACCTAGTGAATGACCTGCAGAGAGCTGGGACCAAAGTAACAAAGCCTACCATCAGTAACACACTACGCCGCCAGGGACTCAAATCCTGCAGTGCCAGACGTGTCCCCCTGCTTAAGCCAGTACATGTCCAGGCCCGTCTGAAGTTTGCTACCAAAATATAACTTTTTGGTAAAAACTCAACTCGTCGTGTTTGGAGGACAAAGAATGCTGAGTTGCATCCAAAGAACACCATACCTACTGTGAAGCATGGGGGTGGAAACATCATGCTTTGGGGCTGTTTTTTCTGCAAAGGGACCAGGACGACTGATCCGTGTAAAGGAAAGAATGAATGGGGCCATGTATCGTGAGATTTTGAGTGAAAACCTCCTTCCATCAGCAAGGGCATTGAAGATGAAACGTGGCTGGGTCTTTCAGCATGACAATGATCCCAAACACACCGCCCGGGCAACGAAGGAGTGGCTTCGTAAGAAGCATTTCAAGGTCCTGGAGTGGCCTAGCCAGTCTCCAGATCTCAACCCCATAGAAAATCTTTGGAGGGAGTTGAAAGTCTGTGTTTCCCAGCGACAGCCCCAAAACATCACTGGTCTAGAGGAGATCTGCATGGAGGAATGGGCCAAAATACCAGCAACAGTGTGTGAAAACCTTGTGAAGACTTACAGAAAACGTTTGACCTGTGTCATTGCCAACAAAGGGTATATAACAAAGTATTGAGAAACTTTTGTTATTGACCAAATACTTATTTTCCACCATAATTTGCAAATAAATTCATTAAAAATCCTACAATGTGATTTTCTGGATTTTTTTCTTCTCATTTTGTCTGTCATAGTTGACGTGTACCTATGATGAAAATTACAGGCCTCTCTCATCTTTTTAAGTGGGAGAACTTGCACAATTGGTGGCTGACTAAATACTTTTTTCCCCACTGTATACCCATGGTCTCTCTCGCTCTCTCTTTTTCAACACTATTTAACACTCCACTACAGTACATGCCATTGCCAATTGTCCGTATAGCACACAGCAGCTTGTCAGTGTGTCTGAGCTCCTAGTTGTGCCCTGTTCATTCTCACACTCACTCAGGCTATTTAGAAACATCTAACCATGAGCCTAACACTACTAAGATGTGAGCCAGCTATCGCAGGACACCAATCTACCATGCACAGTGGCTTACTGGATTAGCATAATAGCATATAGCATATAGAATATAGCATATAGAATATAACATGTAGCATATAGCATATAGCATATAGCATGTAGCATATAACATGTAGCATATAACATATAGCATATAGAATATAGCATGTAGCATATAACATAAAGCATATAGAATATAGCATGTAGCATATAGTATAAAACATATAGCATATAGCATATAGAATATAGTATATAACTAGCTAGCTACCTCCACAAAGATATGAGAGCATGACAACTGTGTGCATCACTATTTAATGTGTGGTGTTCTATAGTTGAATGGAGAGAGTCTTAGTGATGGTGTTCTGTAGTTGAATGAGGAGAGCCTTAGTAATGGTGTTCTGTAGTTGAATGGAGAGAGCCTTAGTGATGGTGTTCTGTAGTTGAATGGGGAGAGCCTTAGTGATGGTGTTCTGTAGTTGAATGGAGAGAGTCTTAGTGATGGTGTTCTGTAGTTGAATGGAGAGAGCCTTGGTGATGGTGTTCTGTAGTTGAATGGGGAGAGCCTTGGTGATGGTGTTCTATAGTTGAATGGGGAGAGCCTTAGTGATGGTGTTCTGTAGTTGAATGGGGAGAGCCTTAGTGATGGTGTTCTGTAGTTGAATGGAGAGAGCCTTAGTGATGGTGTTCTATAGTTGAATGGGGAGAGCCTTAGTGATGGTGTTCTGTAGTTGAATGGGGAGAGCCTTAGTGATGGTGTTCTGTAGTTGAATGGAGAGAGTCTTAGTGATGGTGTACTGTAGTTGAATGGGGAGAGCCTTAGTGATGGTGTTCTGTAGTTGAATGGAGAGCGCTTTAGTGATGGTGCTCTATAGTTGAATGGGGAGAGCCAGCCTCTGTGAATGCTGCTCGTTACAGTTACAGCTGCATACTGTAAAACCCCTAGCTACCAACCCTAACCACGTCTGTGTGAGTGTTTATGTGTCCATCTGCCCCACCCCCCCACCCACCCTACATCCAGTAAATAACTTACAGATGAAGCACTCTCATCCTCCTCCTCATCATCATATCTTGCTTCCGCCAGGACCTCCAGTTTTTTCTGCCTGGCGTTCTTCTTCAGTCTGTTGGCCTGCAGCGTAGCCAAGTAGTTGACGGCGGCGAACTCGATGAGCGCGGACGCCACGAAGGCGAAACACACGGCGATGAACCAGTCCATGGCTGTAGCGTAGGCCACCTTGGGCAGAGACTGGCGGGCGCTGATGCTGAGGGTTGTCATGGTGAGGACCGTGGTGATGCCTGTTGGTTGTTAGGATAGGCGGAGATGGAGACCATAGAAACAGAATTAGAACACTATTATCATATGTTTGTGTTTGAGACAGGGTTCCAATTACAACTTTTCATTCAGGGATGCCCTGATAAATAATAGGCCGGGTTAAAGATAACGTATTCAACGGTGGGTACCCCAAGATAGGGCTTGGGGCTTCCCCATAACACATTTTGGGCACCCCCATACATAAACTTAGAATGTAACTTGGGGTACCCTCATAACCATTAAATATATTATTCTTTCATCCATCCCATAATTTTCAGGGCATCCCAAATGTGTTTTTGGAGTGTCCAGCTCTCCCAGGCTACCTCCTGTTGTGTTTTTGGAGTGTCCAGCTCCCCTGGACTACCCCCTGTAATTAAGGGTTGTGTGATGAGACTAGGCGAAATGGGGTCAACAGGATACAGTCTAATTTGTTTTTAACCTCTTAAAGATCTGAGCCTTTTTTCAAATTTTCGCAGAAAATGACATACCCATTTCTAACTGCCTGTAGCTCAGGCCTTGAAGCAAGGATATGCATATCAATCAATCAATCAATCAATCAAATCAATCACATTTTATATACAGCGGACTAAGGCACTGCATCTCAGTGCTTGAGGCATCACTACAGACCCCCTGGTTCGATTCCAGGCTGTATCACAACCGTCCGTGATTGGGAGTCCCATAGGGCGGCGCACAATTGGCCCAGCGTCGTCCGGGTTTGGCCGGTGTAGGCCGTCATTGTAAATAAGAATTTGTTCTTAACTGACTTGCCTAGTTAAATAAAGGTAAAATAAAAATAAATACAATACATTTATAAAGCCCTTTTTACATCAGCCGATGTCACAAAGTGCTATACAGAAACCCAGCCTAAAACCCCAAACAGCAAGCAATGCAGATGTAGAAGCACGGTGGCTAGGAAAAACTCCCTAGAAAGGCAGAAACCTGGGAAGAAACCTAGAGAGGAACCAGGCTCTGAGGGGTCCCCTCAGATTATAACAGTACATGGCCATTAAGGCCTGATATTTCTCCAAGATGTTCAAATATTCATAGATTACCAGCAGGGTCGAAAACTTGGATTTTTTTGTTAATTATCGAACCGAAACCGAATCTACGTCAAAAAGCACTAATCGCTCAGCACTAAAAAACAGTGTAGGCTACACTAATTACATGTGGCATGGGAGGAGAGAGAGAGAGAGAGAGACTAATGAACAGAGGGTTGTTATCATACCGGACACAGAGATAGAGGGTTGTTATCATACCGGACACAGAGACAGAGGGTTGTTATCATACCAGACACAGAGACAGAGGATTGTTATCATACCGGACACAGAGACAGAGGGTTGTTATCATACCAGACACAGAGACAGAGGGTTGTTATCATACCAGACACAGAGACAGAGGGTTGTTATCATACCGGACACAGAGACAGAGGGTTGTTATCATACCAGACACAGAGATAGAGGGTTGTTATCATACCAGCCACAGTGCGTGCAGGGACAGACTCTTTGTTGATCCAGAATGCTACTTGTGACAGAACCACCACCATAATCAGAGGGATGTAAGTCTGAATCAGGTAGTAGCCTAGCTTCCTCTGTAGTAGAAAATGGACTACCATGACAGAGTAGTCACCTGGAAGATAAACAGAATAGGTATCAGTAGAGAGCAGCGGTGAGAGAGACCATAACACTGATACAGGAAAGGAGATGAGGAGAGGATGAGGAGAGGATAGGAGAGGAGAGGAGAGGAGAGGAGAGGAGAGGAGAGGAGAGGAGAGGAGAGGAGAGGAGAGGAGAGGAGAGGAGAGGAGAGGAGAATGAATGTCCTTGGGTGTCCTTGGACCTGGAAAGGCTGTAGAGATATAACCAATTAGAGACATATAGTGAAGATATCTGACTGCCCCCCTACCCTGAGACAGAGCAGATCAGAGAAGAGGTGGGGTGCAGAGGGAGAGGGGATGAGGAGGAGAAGAGGGGAGAGAGGAGTGAGTGGAGAGGAGTAGTGAGGAGTGTAGTATCGAGTTAGTAGTAAGTAGTGTAGTGTAGTAGTGTTAGTGTATGTATGTAGTGTATTAGTACTGTAGTTTAGTAGTATGTAGTGTGTAGTAGTGTGGTAGTAGTAGTTGTAGTGTAGTACTGTAGTTTAGTAGTATTAGTATTGTAGTGTAGTAGTTTGTAGTATAGTATTGTAGTGTAGTACTGTAGTTTAGTAGTATAGTATTGTAGTGTAGTACTGTAGTTTAGTAGTATAGTATTGTAGTGTAGTACTGTAGTTTAGTAGTATAGTATTGTAGTGTAGTACTGTAGTTTAGTAGTATAGTATTGTAGTGTAGTAGTTTAGTAGTATAGTAGTGTAGTGTAGTACTGTAGTTTAGTAGTATAGTATTGTAGTTGTAGTACTGTAGTTTAGTAGTATAGTATTGTAGTGTAGTAATGTAGTTTAGTAGTGTAGTTTTTAGTTTAGTAATAGTATTGTAGTGTAGTTACTGGGTAGTTTCGTAGTATAGTAGTTTAGTTTAGTAATGTAGGTTTAGTTAGTAGGTAGTGGTTTTGTGTAGTGTAGTACTTAGTTTAAGTAGTATAGTATTGTAGTTAGTACTGTAGTTAGTAGTATTATAGTATTGTAGTTTTAGTACTGGTAGTTACAGCTAGTATAGTATTGTAGTGGTAGTACTGTAGTTCAGTAGTATAAGTATTGTAGTGTAGTACTGTAGGTTTAGTAGTATAAGTAGTGTAGTGTAGGTCTGTAGTTTAGTAGTATAGTTATTTGTAGTACTGTACTGTAGTTTAGTAGTATAGTAGTGTTAGTGTAGTACTATTAGTTTAAGTAGTATTGTTAGGGTTAGTACTGTAGTTTAGTAGTATAGTATTGTAGTGTAGTACTGTAGTTTAGTAGTATAGTATTGTAGTGTAGTACTGTAGTTTAGTAGTATAGTATTGTAGTGTAGTACTGTAGTTTAGTAGTATAGTAGTGTAGTGTAGTACTGTAGTTTAGTAGTATGGTATTGTAGTGTAGTACTGTAGTTTAGTAGTATAGTAGTGTAGTGTAGTACTGTAGTTTAGTAGTATGGTATTGTAGTGTAGTACTGTAGTTTAGTAGTATAGTATTGTAGTGTAGTACTGTAGTTCAGTAGTATAGTATTGTAGTGTAGTACTGTAGTTTAGTAGTATAGTATTGTAGTGTAGTACTGTAGTTTAGTAGTATAGTAGTGTAGTGTAGTACTGTAGTTTAGTAGTATAGTATTGTAGTACTGTACTGTAGTTTAGTAGTATAGTAGTGTAGTGTAGTACTGTAGTTTAGTAGTATAGTAGTGTAGTGTAGTACTGTAGTTTAGTAGTATGGTATTGTAGTGTAGTACTATAGTTTAGTAGTATAGTAGTGTAGTACTGTAGTTTAGTAGTATAGTAGTGTAGTGTAGTACTGTAGTTTAGTAGTATAGTAGTGTAGTGTAGTACTGTAGTTTAGTAGTATAGTAGTGTAGTACTGTAGTTTAGTAGTATGGTATTGTAGTGTAGTACTGTAGTTTAGTAGTATAGTATTGTAGTGTAGTACTGTAGTTTAGTAGTATAGTATTGTAGTGTAGTACTGTAGTTTAGTAGTATAGTAGTGTAGTAGTCACAAAACACACACACGCTTCTCGGTATACCAGTGTTTTCTAATTGTATTGTAACCTACAGTGGGTCCTTACCTGTGTTGGACTTGAATGTCTCCGTGGATAACTTCTGTCCCACCAGGTCATACTGTAGCAGACTGATAGACTCCTGAGGACAGTCTACGGAAGCTTCCAGGCCCTTCCTCCAGGTAAAGGTGATCTCACTGCTCGTGTACGCATCTGATGTATACAGAAACAAGTTCGTTCAGTTGTCATACCATTCCTATATATAATGTTCACAGAAACAACAAAACATCGTATGCATCTGAAATGGTCCCCTGTTCCTTTTATAGTACACTAAAGTAGTGCACTACAAAGGGGATATGGAGCTAACTATTTTGAGGAGTGTAAGGATGTGAATGTTACTGTTTCAGTGCATGAAGCAAACTCTCTCTGCTCAAAGCCAGGTTTATCCTTTGTTATGATCAATCACTTCAAAACATTACTTTTAGGGCTGTCAAACGATAGAAAAACGTAATCGAGTTAATCGCAGGATTTGCTGTGATTAATCGGAACTTCTGAATTTGCTACAAATTTCAGCTTTTTCATACAAAAAACATTACAAGAATATGACAGCCCTAATTACTTTTAAAAAAGAGCCAGAGAAAGGAGATCCTAGACTGAGAACTCACAGCTGCCGAACCTGAGAGGACAGGCATGTCCGTCCATAGGGAAGTCCATGAGCCTCATGGGACACTCTGCACTGATGGTTAGTCTGAGATACGAATAGAACACACAACATTAGACGTCTGATTTCATGATCTGTGTAAAACCTGTGTATACAGTACAACACAACTGGTTTCCTCTGTGCAAAGCAGCACTGCACCAGCGTTTTATTTTTCATAGTCTTAATTGTCAGACTTAATTGGCTACAAAAAGGGGTTTATTTAAAACACTTCTTCCTGCAGGTTACCTCATGGTGAAAAGGTTCTACAGGAGGGCCCAGGGAGGAGGGGCTACCTCATGGTGAAGTGGTTCTACAGGAGGGCCCAGGGAGGAGGGGCTACCTCATGGTGAAGTGGTTCTACAGGAGGGCCCAGGGAGGAGGGGCTACCTCATGGTGAAGTGGTTCTACAGGAGGGCCCAGGGAGGAGGGGCTACCTCATGGTGAAGAGGTTCTACAGGAGGGCGCAGGGAGGAGGGGCTACCTCATGGTGAAGAGGTTCTACAGGAGGGCCCAGGGAGGAGGGGCTACCTCATGGTGAAGAGGTTCTACAGGAGGGCCCAGGGAGGAGGGGCTACCTCATAGTGAAGAGGTTCTACAGGAGGGCCCAGGGAGGAGGGGCTACCTCATGGTGAAGAGGTTCTACAGGAGGGCCCAGGGAGGAGGGGCTACCTCATGGTGAAGAGGTTCTACAGGAGGGCCCAGGGAGGAGGGGCTAGGGACTCAGGGTACCTCATAGTGTAGAGGATGGTCCCGTTCTGCATGATGCGGAACAGCTTGTTGGGAGTGGTCATGTTGTGGGCGATGGACTTCCTGGAGTTCCTGAAGAACGTGTCGGGCGTCCAGATCTTATCCACCATCTTGTTGTTGAGACGCAGGATCTCCACGGCGCCGTCGTACTTCAGCCTCTCGTCCACCCAGGTCTGGCGGAAGAACATGTCTATGGTGTACTCCTGAGGAGGTAGAAGGCCAGGCATTACATGACTGATCACCAGACAGGTTCTGGATCTAGAATGTAGAATCTGGAATTTAGAATGTAGATCTAGAATCTATATTCTGCAGTCCTGAAGAAGGCCAGAGGAATGCACAGTACGATATGCAGGTCCTGCTCCAAACCACAGACATAATACATGTGTTTGTAACTAACTATCTACAGTTAAATCCATTCAGACAAGACAGTCCAGAGAGATGATGAGATTATTATGACAATAACTACCTATAGATATTCATTCATCAATCCGTTTGAGCACTCAGTTTGCTTAACATATTGATTAAGAGGCTAAAATAAACATTACGCCAGCCCAGTTAGTGTATTGAAACTAATTAAGCTAAACGGCTCATAATCTAATCTACAGTCTACAGCAGCCTGCCCATAAGGCAGCAGTGCAGTGGACAATGAAGCTCAGTTGAAACCCATATATAATAAATGCATAAGAAACTATATGTAAACATAACATATAAACACAGTTGCTAAACGACATACATTATGTGACAGTAAGCCTGTGGGAATATGCTGTTTGTCTCATACCATTTCCACATCTGATACTGGTCCAAAGCTGGTGACAAAGATATCTGTTTTCACCTCTGTAATCATACCTGAAAAGGATATAGTGATTTTAATTGTTGCCCATAAAAATATAGGAAAACTGTAAATAGACTATGAACAATTATTTTAAAGAAACTAACCAGGTAAAAATACAGTACATTGTAATAGCCCCACTACTGTTTTGCTAGCACAGACTGGAATATGTTCCGGGATTCTTCCGATGGCATTGAGTACGCCACATCAGTCACTGGCTTCATCAATAAGTGCATCGATGACGTCGTCCCCACAGTGACCGTACGTACATACCCCAACCAGAAGCCATGGATTACAGACATCATCCGCACTGAGCTAAAGGGTAGAGCTGCCGCTTTCAAGGAAGCGGGACTCTAACCCGGACACTTATAAGAAATCCTGCTATGCCCTCAGACGAACCATCAAACAGGCAAAGAGTCAATAAAAGGACTAAGATTAAATCGTACTACACCGTCTCCGACGCTCATCGGATGTGGCAGGGCTTGAAAACTATTACAGACTACAAAGGGAAGCACAGCCACGAGCTGCCCAGTGACACAAGCCTACCAGACGAGCTAAATTACTTCTATGCTCGCTTCAAGGCAAGCAACACTGAAGCATGCATGAGATCATCAGCTGTTCTGGACGACTGTGTGATCACGCTCTCCGTAGTCGATGTGAGTAAGACCTTTAAACAGGTTAACATTCACAAGGTAGCAGGGCCAGACGGATTACCAGGACATGTACTCCGAGCACTAAGGTAACCTGCCTAAATGACTACAGACCCGTAGCACTCACGTCTGTAGCCATGAAGTGCTTTGAAAGGCTGGTCATGGCTCACATCAACACCATTATCCCAGAAACCCTAGACCCACTCCAATTTGCATACCTCCCCAACAGATCCACAGATGATGTCATCTCTATTGCACTCCACACTGCCCTTTCCCACCTGGACAAAAAGAACACTACGTGAGAATGCTATTCGTTGACTACAGCTCAGCGTTCAACTCCATAGTGCCCTCAAAGCTTATCACTAAGCTAAGGACCCTGGGACTAAACACCTCCCTCTGCAACTGGATCCTGGACTTCCTGACGGGCCGCCCCCAGGTGGTAAGGGTAGGTAACAACATATCTGCCACGCTAATCCTCAACACAGGGGCCCCTCAGGGGTGCGTGCTCAGTCCCCTCCTGTACTCCCTGTTCACCCATGACTGCATGGCCAGGCACGACTCCAACACCATCATTAAGTTTGCCCGATGGCACAACAGTGGTAGGCCTGATCACCGACAACGATTTGACAGCCTATAGGGAGGAGGTCAGAGACCTGGCAGTGTGGTGCCAGGACAACAACCTCTCCCTCAACGTGATCAAGACAAAGGAGATGATTGTGGACTACAGGAAAAGGAGGACGGAGCACGCCCCCATTCTCATCGACAGGGCTGTAGTGAACCAGGTTGAGAGTTTCAAGTTCCTTGGTGTCCACATCACCAACAAACTATCATGGTCCAAACACATCAAGACAGACGTGAAGAGGGCACGACAAAGCCTATTCCTCTTCAGGAGACTGAAAAGATTTGGCATGGGTCCTCAGATCCTCAAAAAATGATAAAGCTGCACCATCGAGAGCATCCTGACTAGTTGCATCACTGCCTGGTATGGAAACTGCACGGCCTCCGACCGCAAGGCACTGCAGAGGGTAGTGCGTACGGCCCAGTACATCACTGGGGCCAAGCTTCCTGCCATCCAGGACCTCTATACCAGGCGTGTCAGAGGAAGGCCCTAAAAATGGTCAAAGACTCCAGCCACCATAGTCATAGACTGTTCTCTCTGCTACTGCACGGCAAGCGGTACCGGAGCGCCAAGTCTAGGTCCAAAAGGCTTCTCAACAGCTTCTACCCCCAAGCCATAAGACTCTGAACAGCTAATCAAATGGCTACCGGGACTATTTGCATTGTCCCCCCCCCCCCCCCCCCCACCCCCTTTTTTACGCTGCTGCTACTCTCTGTTTATTATCTATGCATAGTCACTTTAACTCTACCTACATGTACATATTACCTCAATTACCTCGACTAACCTGTGCACATTGACTCTGTACCGGTACCCCCTGTGTATAGCCTCCCTACTGTTTTATTTTACTGCTGCTCTTTAATTATTAATTTTTCTTAAAACTGCATTGTTGGCTAAGGGCTTGTAAGTAAGCATTTCGCTGTAAGGTCTACAGCTGTTGTATTCGGCGCATGTGACAAATAAAATTGTATTTTATTTTATTTGACTATGTTATTTCCTACTTATTCAATGAAAAGTACTGCAGATGTAAGATATAGGAAAATACATCAGAATAGAGGACGCCAGGCCCACCTCCGGATCCTGGTCGCAACCGGTTGTCATATCCATCTAGTAGTCGGTCCAGAATACGGGTGATGTTTTCACCTGCGTAGCTTTCTTGTCCATAGACACTGCCAACACTGAAATCAATGCAATCATAATTGATGACAGTTTATACTGCCCTGTGTAGACCTATAGGCTTAGTAAGGTAAACCTATTAGGATTATGATTGGTATGTTTATTATCATACACAATTGATATACATTCAAGAAACTATAGAGGCGTACCCATTGATACAATTAGAAAAAGGTTATTTTACTCACCAGGTCAAAGTTACCAAAATCAGAATCAAGAGACCCATCATTGGCACCAGGTTATGAAAAACATTCCCTGTCAACTCTTTGAGTTTAATTAAATAGTCAGCCTTTCTCCGTCCTCCGCTAGTCTAAACTGAATGTATTTTAAACACAAGGATTTGTGAAGTAATCGAATTAGGAGATTAGCACAGAAAATCCAACCTATGTTTAGACTTGGGCACTTGTTAGGAAGAGAGACAGTGATTACAGAAAAACTGGGGAAATGTAAACATTTTAAGTGTTATTGTATTTTCGGGGAGCTATAATCTTCCAGTTGTTAAAATGTATAATCTCGGATGGAATTTCAAGGATATTTGTGATTTAGCTTTAGATCAAGATTCTTGACCCCTTGAGCATTGCGCGTCTAAACAGCAGGTGGCGCTGTCTGTTCTATTTGGCGGTTGAGACACCGGAAACTCCACCAGCGAGGAAGTAACCCCATTATGTTTCTGGATGAACTAACTGACTGGCGTAAACACTATCCCACACAACTTTTGTCATATTTTCTAGCTAGCTTATTCATATAAGTATATGTTTTGGGATGGTGCCATATCGTTAGGTCGGTACAAGTTAGGATCTGATCATCGTTTGAGAGAATAAATAACATTTAGCTAGTTAGCCGGTTAGCTAACCATCAGATCAGGAGGCGTGAGAGGGTTGCTAGCCAGCAGCATGTCGGTCCACTTCGAGGAGAGAAGCGGTGTTATCCCGTGTAAAACACCATGGGGAAATTGGTCCCAAACTATGGAGGAGGTATTTATTGAAGTGAATGTGCCCCATGGGACGTCTGGCAAAGAAGTCAAATGTATTCTGGGATCTAAACAGATAGAACTACACGTCAAAGGACAACACGTCTTCAAGGTAGGCATCACAACAAACACATTTCAGAGTTACGTAGGGAGTGAACGTTAATAAGGGTTAGCAACATGGACAAAATCGGACCTTTCTGGAATGAAAATGGATGGCCCTCCCTTCAGCAAAATATATTTAACCTAAACCCTCCCTGAACGTTTGAAAAAACAAGTGACCCTCCCCTTTCCACAAAATAATAATTAAAACAAAGTGGATAGCAGAGAACATGTCTACCGTTTACCCTCACTTCTTGGACAGACCAGAGCCTTAGACATGCCGTTTTAGAAAGTGTTCTTCATCCTGAAAGCATTACATGGCAACGCAGAAATGTTGATAGCACACAGGGCTGCGGGCCAGAAGGTTGTGGGTTCGCAGACCACCGTGGACAAGAGTAGGGGTAGAAAGATCTCCTTTATAGTTAAACCATTACATGAATCTATCATCGTGTTTGCAGGTCCGAGGAAAAATAGCTTTTCATAAAAAATGTCATGCAATTCTACGTCATTTTACATATTAGCAGAATATGTTTTAATACCACACAAATTACCGAAATTACAGGCTAAGAATGGGCAGAGAGATGTGTTCATTTTATCATCTTTCTCCAATGCCAAACCAGTGTGTCTTGTTTGTAACGAAACTGTCCCAGTTTGCAAATAATTAAATCTGAGACGTCATTAGGAATCTGAGCATGGTACTTTCAAAAATTAGGCCTACCTTTCCACCCCAGACATAGTAGGCTTACCAACGCAGAAACATTTAATTTTAACTGCTGGCTACTCTTCCATGGCTTAACCCAACGGGAGAAGGTCACAAGTGTTTCACTAAAAGCTGTCTGGGTTTAAACATCTTATATTTTACCGGAAGTTAATAGCTTCAATTGGATTACTTCCCAAGCAAAGTACATTTTTTGTCTCCTCGGCTAAAGAAGGATGTAGCGCATCCTCTAAACGTCAAAGAGAAAGGAAACCATATCCCCATATGTATCGTAGTAATGTCATCCCGGGTATTTTAAAGCTTGTTTCTAGAATAAAGCATCGCGGAACCAAAGCGCTGGTAAACAGTAGATCACTTTATATAATCAGATCCGTTTTATTTTCTTCAAAATCTTAAGCCTGTGCTTTTTGCCATTTTCTTTAATAAAAGGTAGGCTATGGCATACCCCCTCAATTCGAGTTTTGGTTTTAACTTAACAGCCCTTCACTGACATGGAGGTAGGCTATTTAAAGAGTGCAGACAAATCTATGGATATAGCAGCCTATAGCCTAATTTCGTCTTTCAAACAGGTAAGAAGAAATAGGCTCCAACACATAGCCCTCTTGTTGTTAGTAAAGTCTAATTAAAATGAAGACGTTGAAAGGAATTCTGCTTATTTGAATGTCTACTTTCAGCACCACCAGCTGTCCATTTCCGATTAATTGTGCCACAGCTGCTGCTTCAAGTTTCAGCACCACAATGTAAATTACTCAAATCTGTCTTATTGTGAGGTCAATAACTCTGATAAATACATCAGGGGCAAGAAACATATTGTTTTTAATCAAATCAGTTATAGTAGTAGCAAGCTATCAAAGTTGACCTCCAGTCCTCCTTCTCTTCCTCACGCTCTCTTTCTCAAACTGAACAGAAAGTATTGTGCATTCAGAAAGTATCCAGACCCCTTCCCTTTTTCCACATTTTGTTACGTTACAGCCTTATTCTAAAATTGATGAAATTATTTGTTTTCGTCATCAATACCCCATAATGACAAATGGAAAACAGGTTTTTAGATTTTTTTTGCAAATGTATAAAAAATTAAAAACATAAATACCTTATTTACATAACTGTTCAGACCCTTTGCTAGGAGACACGAAATTGAGCTCAGGTGCATCCTGTTTCCATTGATCATCCTTGAGATGTTTCTACAACTTCATTGGAGTTCACCTGTGGTAAATTCAATTGATTGGACATGATTTGGAAAGGCACACACCTGTCTATGTAAGGTCCCACAGTTGACAGTGCATGTCATAGCAAAGACCAAGCCATGAGGTCAAAGGAATTGTCTGTAGAGCTCCGAGACAGGATTGTGTCGAGGCACAGATCTGGGGAAGGGTACAACCAAAAAAATCTGCATCATTGAAGGTCCCCAAGAACACAGTGGCCTCCATCATTCTTAAATGGAAGAAGTTTGGAACCACCAAGACTCTTCCTAGAGCTGGCCGCCCGGCCAAACTGAGCAATCGGGGGAGAAGGGCATTGGTCAGGGAGGTGACCAAGAACCCGATGGTCACTCTGACAGAGCTCCAGAGTTCCTCTGTGGAGATGGGAGAACCTTCCAGAAGGACAACCATCTCTGCAGCACTCCACCAATCAGGCCTTTATGGTAGAGTGGCCAGATAGAAGCCACTCCTCAGTAAAAGGCACATTACAGCCCACTTGGAGTTTGCCAAAAGGCACCTAAAGGACTCTCAGACCATGAGAAACAAGATTCTCTGGTCTGATGAAACCAAGATTGAACTCTTGGGCCTGAATGCCAAGGATCACGTCTGGAGGAAACCTGGCATTTCTAAAACCCTGTTTTTGTTTTGTCATTATGAGGTATTGTGTGTATATTGATGAGGATAAAAAAATAAAAATTAGAATAAGGCTGTGACTTAACAAAATGTGGAAAAAGTCAAGGGGTCTGAATACTTTCTGAATGCACTGTAGGCTAGTCCACGTGCAAGATTATTTTCAGAAGAAGCCTTTTCCTGAACAGCCATTGGTTAGGCAGCACACTTTTTTTTCTTTTTTTTATCAGCAAGAGCAGAGCAGGCCAGGGCTCAGGGTTGTAATATCCATTGCAGTGTGTAATGCAGCCTAGTTTTATTTACACTGTCCCAGCAGCTATCTTTGCTCTGTGCTTCTCCCAGCATGCACTTCGTAGCCTATAGCCTAAATAGGCGATGGATCATGTGATTGACACCACACTAAATAGCCTATAGACACTTGATATTGCGCAACCAGCAGAGAATCAGAGATGAGGGGTGACATCTGTAGCACAACCATACAGAGCCTGGTAAGAAATAGAAAAAGCATGACTCTCCCCCATTTTCCTCCAGGTAACCAAATTTGTACATTTCAATCCATCCCTTAGTCTCGCGAGGCCATCCTTCCAAAACTTGTCTAGTTTTACCTGCATAGGTGACTCCCAGATAATTATATAATATAATATGCCATTTAGGAGATGCTTTTATCCAAAGCGACATACAGTCATGCGTGCATACATTTTTTGTGTATGGGTGGTCCCGGGGATCGAACCCACTACCTTGGCGTTACAAGTGCCATGCTCTACCAGCTGAGCTACAGAGGACCACATAATTCCCACTACATTTATTCTCCAAGTACACATTATTTAAAGAAACGGTCTGATAAATATGTAGCTAGTACATAGTTATTTACAGTACAGAATGGTGTCTTGGTGAAGGTGCTTCGCTCTCTGATTCAGGTTAACCTAACGTAGCAGGCGTTAAAAGGCGCCTGGGCGGAGTTCCCACATCCGTTTTTCCGGGGAAACGGAAGTTAGGTTGAGAAATACTGTATCCCTGAAAACCGGTTTTCTGGCAAACCTGCGTAGCTAGATTCAGGTGAATTTAGGTAGTCATGTGATTGTGAACTGTGAGCTTATTGGTCCATTTTTAATGACCTGTTTGTTTGCTGTGATTGGTTGCAGGTATGCACACAGGTATGAATCTGAAGGATTGCATATTGTATTTGCTTATAGTCCTCTCTTGTACTTCCAGGGTGAATTATTTGGCACCACTGTTGCTGATGAAGGAACGTGGACATTAGGTGGGTTTCTACTAAGTCATCCACTCTCTTCTAATTCAATCAACACATTATGGTTGAATGTAAACCTTGCATAATAAATCAGTCTTTCACAAGATGGACTCGTTCATTGCCCTCTACACATTTCTCATCCAGTGGATAAGTCATTAGCAGATATTGGTTGAAAATAAAGCCTAAGCGATCACTCTCCCCCTCCACACGTCTGTTCCAGAGGATAAGTGTCTGATCCGTATCGTGCTGATGAAGACCAACAGGGAGGCAGGTAACTGCTGGGCCTCTCTGCTACAGGGAGAGTACTGTGCTGATGCCTGGCTCCAGGACCAGATGCAGAGGAAACTAACTCTGGAGAGGTTCCAGAGAGAGGTAAGTCATGGCAATACCAGTAGTCATTTCCATAGAGGTGATGAATGATACTGTATCAGTCACACGAAGAGCCAGAACAAGCCTCTTTCTTCATCCACATTATCTGAAGAACCTGGATAGATGAAGGCATTTTAACACGCAGGCTTGCTTCTTCTGCACTGCTTTCACTTCTCTACGTTAAATTCATTTTGCTGTGTCACTTCCCACTCTGTCAACAGAACCCTGGCTTTGACTTCAGTGGAGCAGAGATCTCTGGGAACTTTGCAGGTGGTGGGCCAGACTTCTCCAGCTTGCGGAAGTAAAGTGACATCACAGTGTTGTTAAACAGCAAAAGGGACCCACCCACTGTACAGTATGCCTGAGACTTCTGTCATATGGGACACGGTTGAGGCCTGCCTAGGGGTGAAGAGATTGTACTGTACAAGGACAAATACTGCGTTCATAACCAAGTGGGAAGGTGGTATTTACAACATATGACTGGGGAAAATCTGCTTGAATGCCCCTCCAACTAGTAATTACTAGTGGGAAACGTATCATCCCTGAGCTCCGACTTCTCCCACACGCTGACCTCGAACAGCATTTTCAGCAACAAAATATTTATAAAAAGCAATCTATAAATATGGTTTTGAACACTAATTGGTTTACAAGCATGATATCTGTACTTTTATTTTTGATTTTTTTTCAGTGGTAGATCAGCTTAATATTGCAGATAGATTGTATCTTCTATCAATGAAATTGTCTGCATCACTTCCAATCCCCCATGTTTTTTTTCTATATACACATATATACACACACATATCCTTTTCAAAATATTCCCCTTTATTACTTTCCAACCCCGCCACCCTTTCCCCACTTGGAGTAGACTAGTGAACAACAACGCCTAGGCCTCTACTTCCAGCCCATACCCACTATCTACATTTTATGGACAGTCAATTTTACAATAATTACATTTTGTTCTTTCTCCTGAAAAACTTCTACGCTCAACCTCTCCGATCATTTTAAACTTTTAGTTTATGGCTGCAGCTGCTTGTTGGCAATAAGTGTATCTGAAATGTTCAAAGCATATGAATGCATCCAACTGGTATTTAACTTCACACCTGGTAATTACCACCTTCCCACTTGGTTATGAACTCAGCATAGGACGAGCAGTTGCCTTTGGGCAAAGAATGGACAATGTGTTCTGAAACCATATGCTAGAATTTGAAACTATAAGCGTAACTGTACAAACCCACACCCTGCCTTTTCTTTGTACGCGTTTAGGATTGGCTTTTTTAAATTCTGTCAAACCTGTCAGACTGCATAGCCGTAATTCAGTTCAATAGCTTTCATTGTGGAAATCTTGTGTGGATTTATAATAAATAGTTGAAAAATGGTCTTGATGGATGTGGTTTCAAAACATTTGACAGTGCAACCAAACAGCTTTTCAATATCGTTTTATTGAAAGGTCCAAACATGGGTTAAACAGGAGAAGTTCCAACTTTCAGGCAAAGTTTTCAAATTTCAGATCAACTTCAAAATTCTTAACTACTTAATTTGTCAGATCAATTGTGGGGCCTATGGTCAAATACTCTAGTAAATGGAAATCAAACTAACTTAATTTCCTATATCTACTGTGCTTACCTAAGTGACTTGAGAGTGCATTTACAAATCAGTTCATTGCGAGTGGTTGTTTTCTAAAGGCTAAGGTTTTGCCACAAATCAAGAATTCAACGTCACATCAGACAGTGACTGTGTCCAAAATGGCACCCTAGTGGGATACCATGTCATCCACAGCCAGTTGCAGCTCAAAGAGCATGCTATCCTGCAAGCTAAAACCAATACGTGTGCAGGACCATCGCTAGTTTCATCACATCACTGAGGAAACCTCAACGAACGCCCTCACAAGTACCACATTTTTATTTATTTCAAAAGTTAAAAAGAAAAAAAAAGTTCCTTGGGTAGAGGAGTGTGCATTTAGGCCAGTTCATCAACCTAGGGTGGAAGTTAAGGGTTTTGGGTCCGATTTCTTGGTTCCATTGTGTTGCATTTTCACAAAACCCTTCTCCCTCCTCTTCCACATAGTGGACTGAGGACCTAGGTGGTTCTATACTTCATTGCTTAAAACCAGCAACCACGATAGAATACTATGCAGAGTATTCATGTTGGTACTGATTCAGATAAGAACATACTGTATACACGCGCGCAAGCATTTCAACCAGGAAGGATTTAACCGTCGCTAGATGGCAGCGGATAAACCCACTCTTGACCGGGCATTAATCCCTTAGGTTCAATTCTAAGTGGCACCCTATTCCCTATAAAGAGCAATCAGCTCTGGTCAAAAGTAGTGCACTATATAGGGATTAGGTTGCCATTTCAGACACACCTTAGTCAATGAAGCGGATGTAGGCTAATAAATAGTAAGCTTATTCAAAAAGTACCATGACAGAACAGAAGAACCAGGAGAAAGGGGGAAAGATAGTTGTTACAGGTTTTCCCCTTAAAGAACTACATCATCCATAATGCAGTTCTGTAAGGGCAATGGGTTAGTGATGGAGGTGGGTGACCATGTAGCAACAGTGGAGTACAGGAAGTTGTCGTCTTTTTGCTATTTTGCCATGAAACTGAAAAACAAAACATGTTTTTAGGGGAGAAGAGGTGGTAGCCTACTTCTCGTTTTGTTTCTGTACTCCTACTTTTGTATTGGTCACCCACCCCCAGGGTTCAGTAGGCGGACTCAGGGATTGTGGGCATATGGGCGATCTTGTAATAGCTGTGTTTCAACGTGCGTTGCGTTCTGCCAGACAGGATCCAACGAAGCCTCTGGCTGTTGGGCTTGGAGACCCTGGTGGTTGAATACTCAATCAGACACTTCATAACCAACTCTCTCACAATAACCAGGTCCCCTTCTCGGACCTGAGGAAACACACACACGGAGAAACAGGGTGAGGAAAAACAAACTATTATCATGCAGCATTGGCAGCCCATCAGAGTATTCATTTATTTTAAAACCTGCCAATCAGAGAGTGTTTGTTCGTTAGTGCTGCTGGTCTGTTTCCCCCTTTCTTTACTGCATCATTAAAAAACATAATCCAGAGAGGGTTCCCAATTCCAAAGACTCAATTCAACGTCTTGATTAATCAACTAGCCTACATTTTTCAATGAACCCTCAACATTAGGTCATCCGTTGGGAAATAGGCCTTGGGGCTCCAACACACAGAGCAGAGCAAAAGCTCCACCTCATAGCTAACAGTGGCTGCGTCTCAAATGGCAATTTATTCCCTGTAGTGAGTGCACTACTTTTGACCAGGCCCCATTTGGGACGCAGCCACTGTGTCAAAACACCTTCCATTGCTGGGTTGTGTTCATTAGGCACCAAACAGGGGGAAAAAAAACTCAAAACGGGGAGGAACTACCTTGGACTTGTCCAATAAGAAACTCATTTTCTTTGAGCGCATCTTTTCTCTCGTTTTCCGTTGCAAAACATTTCAAACGTTTTCCGTTGTATGCCCTAATGAACAAGACCCTGGTTAGTATCCTGTTACAACAGGCATGTTTGGGGAGTGATATGACACTAGGTGGTAGCCTGAGTCCCAGGTCTGTTTAATACTCCTCTTGCCAACTCCTATTCCCAATGTTTGGTGTGACGACATAGGAGCAAGACAGTACAAACAGATCTGAGACCAGGCTAGCTGGCTAGTCTGGACAGTAAACACTACAGATCTGAGACCAGGCTATCTGGCTAGTCTGGACAGTAAACACTCACAGTGAGTTGCTGCTGGAGAGACTGGAAGGCGTTGAACAGCTTGTCTATGTGCTCGTGGTCATGTTGCTCCTGAAGCTCCAGGGTCAACAAGGACAGGGCAAGCAGAGAGGGCTGTGGAGAGGAGAGAGAGAGGGGGGAGAGCGAGAGAGTGGGGTAGAGAGAGAGAGGGGGGTAGAGAGAGAGAGGGGGGGAGAGCGAGAGAGTGGGGTAGAGAGAGGAGAGGGGGGTAGAGCGAGAGAGAGGGGGGTTAGAGAGAGAGAGGGGGGGGTAGAGAGAGAGAGGGGGGGGGGGGGGGGGTGGAGAGATTTAGTTTGCATGAAAACTACATATTAAGAGTGATCTTTGTATACATACATTTTAGTTGGTTTGAAACTATTTTGAGTATGTCTTTCACCCACACACTCAAAGCTCATCAATCCTCACCCCTTTCCCAAGTGCCCTGCCCAAAATAGGCCTAGATCCAATGTCACAACATGAACTAGCCTACATACACCCCTTGCTCCTGTATTTTATAGTCAAGTTAAAATTGGTTTGCCTTGACACATAGTATTGAGAGATTCTAAATTAAACAAAAAAACACATTTGTTTTTGACACACAGAACTACAGTATCTTACCTTGACTTTGGCGAAGGTGAAAGAGCAATGGCAGGCTTTCAGCTGTGCTTCTAATCTCTCAATGTTCAGGATCTCCTTGCTATGGAGAGAAAATGTGTTTTAATAATGTCTGTTCAAGTTGTTTGTCAAGTCTTTTATAAAAAGGCATAAGAGCTAAAGGATGATGTTCATATGTAATGGACATGAGAGAGAGAGAGATGCACTGAACAAAAATATAAACGCAACCTGTAAAGTGTTGGTCCCATGTTTCATGAACTGAAATAGAAGATTCCTGAATTTTTCCATAAACACAAAAAGCTTATTTCTCATGTTATGGACCCCCCCTGCCAGATCCAGCCTGCGTGCCGTATGTTTGACACCCCTGTTATATACGGTATGTAGCCCAAGGCTACAGTCTATTAGATCTACAGTCATCGTACCAGTCATCTTCAAGTGTGTCCTGTATGCGGCCGTAGAACAGCCTGAGGAAGTGGAGGGCTGTCGGGGCTTTGACCTTCCAGTAGAGCTTCTCCAGAATGATCTTCTCCATCCTCATCATGTCGGACACGGTGAAGCGGTTCTGGCTGATCCGGATCAGCTCGTTGGCCATGGGGACGTTCTTCTCCTCCTCCGAGGTCTTCACAGCGATGTAGAAACAGGACAGGCCCACACATGACAGGTGCTTCGGCTGGATCTGGGATAACGGTTAAAAAGGTTATGTTAAAAATGAGAGTTCTTGATTATCATTCATTTTATTTTTTGGGTCATCTCTGGTATATTTTCACAGTGAAGAGCCTGTACAACATTCTTCTGATATTACAGAATAGACCTAGATGTATGATTTTACAGTCCTTGTGCCTCGTAACGGTAATTTGTTTTCCTGTCTCTATTGCTTACTCAGCTAAAACCAAATGAATAAAATACTAATTTTAATAATTCCTAATCAAAACCCCATCTGATGTCCAGGTCTTACCTTCATGACGGCGAGGAAGCGGTCCAGCAGGTTGACGGCCAGGGAGAAGGTCTCGGCGCTGAAGCCAAAGAACCTGGTCAGAGACAGGAGGTCCTTCACCTCGTACTCCCTGAGCCGGGCGGTCATCCTCAGGCCGTTGTCATGGGCCGTCTCAATGATCCTCAGACCGCTCAGCTTGGCCTGGTACCTGAACTCCTGGTCAGTCAGAGCCTTCAACTGCACGGCGAAGGGCAGAGCACCTGGTCCAGTCACTGTGGGAAGCATCTATGGAGAGGGAGAGGAGATAATGTAGGTAGGCCATCATTAAAGTACATTATTAATTCATGGGATTTGATTATATAATGTTTCAAATCAACTTCATGCGTACTGTCACTATGACCATCTATGGAAGAAAGGGAGACAATGTACGTTATTAATTCAAGGGAATTGATTAACAAGAGTTTTAATATCAAGCGTTATCCACAGTTAGGATAGTCACCATTTCGTTACATTTGTGTAAGAAGTGGGATAGTATTGATAGTAATAATATTTCATAACAACTTGATGATGAACCATGAGTAGCCTAGCCTACTTTTATTTGAGGTGAAATTAAAACTAGTTTGGGGATGTTTTGGCAGTATGAGTCACAATGGTACTGGTACGTTGGAAGACGCGTTAATGTGTTAATATTTTGTACAAGTTACTGCCCAAGCCTACTACTCTTCCCTAGTAGAGACAAGACTGTTCCTTTCTCCATTGATCGAGATCAGGGGTATTCAACCGGGGATCAGCAGAGCTAGGCTATTGCAGGGGGTCCACCAAAATATATTTAAAAATAATATGGGCATCTTTTTTATGTTTGTTTTTATATTGCTAGCAACAGAATAAAATAATTTGGAATTATACCTACAGTAGAAAATAGGAGAATATCTTCCTAATGGTTTCAATTTTTATTTATCAACTCCTAATATTGAGCAAAGTACACTCACTGGAGTATCTGACAAGAGGCTTTGAAAAAGCACCCGCTAATAGGCTACCTGTGCCAGCTACTGGTTAGCTTTCTTGACTTGGACATTCATTTTTGCCAACACATGGCTAACTTCTGTTTAACCAGCTGCTCTTAGCGAAAATGTGTTTGGAGTTACCTTTCTAGCTAATAACCCATGTTGAAGTTTACACTTCCTCTGATCTAGACGATTACAGTATATTATCATTATTCACTACTGCTCCCTGGTCACCGTGATCTCTTGAATTGTTAATGAACTGGATCGAACTGGTCTGAATCCTACTGTATGGGTGGCAACTTACTACTGCATTGGGACATGTCTGGACATGTCAAAAACGACGTCGTCTACCACATACACCTGCCAAAAAGGTTATAATTATCTCGGTGTAAACTATTAGCAATACAGTTGAAATGGACAATAAAACAGTACGGTTTAAAAGTGAAGACGACTGATCTTTACTAGTGTGAGATGTGAACACACAAGGCCAGTGCGTCATTACATCCACAGCGCTAGGTCTGCGTGCTGTGTCAGGACATGTTTCCTGCCCATAGAAACCAATGGAGGATCAGAAACACCGAGAGTAGCAACTTCAACGCAACTAATACTACAAAAACGTATACATATTTCTGATCCAAAGAACACAGGTCTACATTATAAATTGATGTTAGTGTTATATTTGCATCTAAAACAGATTATTCATAAAACAGGCGCTTTTATGAGTTGAAGGCACAGCAACTGGACAACAGGCCATTTTCAAAATACACCAGTAGCCCGTCAAGGCTGCAAAATAACTAAACGATCATGTAGGATATCGTTGAAACAATATGGCTACATAGCGACATGATTTAACATTGTAACTAGCGCCTGGAAGCCAAAGAGAAAGAGGTATAATGCTGAAAATGAGTGCTCTTACCTTGTCTTTGATATGATTAGGAGTGTTAGTTGTTGCAGTGGAAAGTGTCCAAACGGATTAAAGATAATAGTTTCAGGAAAAGATTACAGCATGTACTTTCAATAAGAAAGCTTTAAGCAAACTTAATTTCCCCTCCTAAGCACACCCCTAACCCTTGGCGAAAGGCGAAAGAAACGGGCTTTTCGGCTTTAAGTACTAGTCCAGACTTATGCCCAAAAATAGCAAGGTCTAATTGGTCAGTGGTGAAACGACACTCCCTTCTTCTCAGTTTTCATTCGATACAAACCCATCAATCAGCAATAAAGTCACGCCCTTCACATTAGTGGGTGGGGTTATGTCATCATGCGGAGAGTAGAGGCAGGCCTTCTTTGGAGAAAGAACGATCCCGGCACCTTGGAACGCAGAGACAGGTGTACAACTCACCGGTACAACCTCCAGGGTATGTATTGTGCCATATTGTGGACACGCTGAACAGTTTGTTGCACACGGTCTATGGTTGCACAATGTAATTGGAATCTCTAGAATCATTAGGCATATATACCTGTGCTGTGTGTCAAACTACTGTTATAAATCGAGTTTCCATAAATTGAATGCATGTCAATTATTTATGAACCATTGTGCGTTTAGAGGTCCAAACAACCATTTGCAGATTGGCTTTAATCTGTAACATTTTCACAATGAATGTAAAACCAACTATTCAAAAAGTAGGCTATTTGGTAACTGTAAACCGGTAGCTCGGTCTGGACCATAGAGTCACTGGTCTGGACTCTGGAACAGTCTAGAAAGCCAGGGGCTGGAGGGGGAGAGAGTGCAGTGGCGCGCTCGGACACCCTATTAGCCTGTACAGACATGAGGAGAGGAACTAACCAAAATTCAGAGCTGTCAGAATGTATTCATTAACATTGGATCAAAGAGAGGTGAAGACATTTTTCAAAGTAGTTTTATTCATAGCGAGCAAATACAAATCTATACGAGATAGGGTGTAATCAATCACTTTTATAAGACAACATATTTTAAGATAGTTTAAACTATAATCTTGGACACTTCAGGATAAAATGTATATTTTTTAGTAGTTTTAGTGTAATTTCAAATGACAATTGAAAGAACCTCGTATTGTTCTGTTTGGAATATTGTTCTCAATTTCAGACAAATTCAACAATACACCTTGGTGATTAGTAGTGGTCTTTTATTAGCCATCAAATGATACAATCCCAACTGTTCCCAACCACCACAGCACAAATCACATAATTATTTTATTTTAAGTAGGTAGACTAAACCATAGATCATATGGGGGGTCCACAAAGTCACAGTATGTTAAATAAAGTTATTATTCCTTATAAATAGACAACCCTAACAACCTCTTGCAGGTTGCAGCACCCTTAATAAAACTATTTCATTTTCACAGTGGGATAAGACAAGTCACTAGTCAATAAATAGAACAGGTAGGTAAACCCTGACAGCAGCAAGGAAAGCACATTCATTAAATTAAATTAATAAATAAGCTCTAGGGGGGTTTTAATCTGAACATTGTTATCTTATAGCCGGAGTGCCAGTCTGCTACTGCTTTCTAGAACAGAAACAGACCGGCACCCCGGCTAGTTATCTTATGCTTATTGAAGAAAGTCATCTGTAAAATGTCATGCAGAGAAGCATGCTATAGAGCTTTAGAGCTACAGCGCATCAGCTTTTTATTGAACCAAAGTCGCATCCCCAATGGCACCCTATTCCCTATATAGTGCACTACTTTTATAGCCCTATAGATAGCCTATATACTTTCTAATTATTAGAGAAAGTGTGTAATACTATGCTGAGCTTGGACTGTACTGTTTATGGAAGACTCCAGGACCAGGTATAGGTAGAAACATCACTTGAAGAGTTCAGGAAGGAGAGCACGGCACAGCAAGGTGTGTGTCCCAAAATGGCACCCTATTCCCTATGTGTAGTGCACTACTTTTGACCAGGGGTTTAGGTCAAAAGTAGTGCACCACATAGGGAATAGGGTGCCATTTGGGACACACTCAAGGATTTTACAAAAATGTAGCTTCGCATCACACTGTAAAAAATAAGTAAGCTCAATAGATTGTTAATTGTCAATAGGGGAAGAACAGAACAGCCATCCTTTTGGCGTGGTAGAAAGTCAGTCTTCTAATTTAAATTCCTTCCTGATGTTAGGGAGCAGGCAGACGGAAGACTAAAGAAGCTATGAGAAGAAAAGGAAAAGGTCAGGTCATTAATTTGAACAGGAGACAAGCAGGCAGGCTAGCATACAAGAGCATACACACTGCATACCCAGGAAAGTCATGATGAGTGAACAGAACATAAACCTATATTACTTGACATTCTCGAAATCTTTACTCACTGGGAATTGAGTACTGTACATTTATGGACAAGAAGATTACGATTATATAACTAAAAGTAGGCTATAAGTAAGTTCATATTCTAAGAACCAGTATTTTGCATATACCAATCCCTAGATTAAATGTTAATTACATAATTACCCCTCGCTTGAAGCAGGTTAATACAATGACAATATCTGCTATTCATTGATTCATTGCCTGGGAACAATAAAACAATCTCCCTTATGTAACTCAAATAACCCAGGCTTACTGGAGAAATAAAAACTAGCCTGGACACAGACCTGTTTGTGCTCTTGTCTACTCCACTGCTCATTGTCAAGCCATTCATGCTGGAGTAGGCATCATCAACAAACAGACTAGCACTCAGGCTAAAATAAAACAGAGTAAAGTAATGGGTGGGGGAAATGCAGGGTTGGGACAAAAAAATTAATGACCCACAAACACCACAGTCAACCAGGTCTTGGGTAAGACCACAGTCAACCAGGTCTTGGGTAACACCACAGTCAACCAGGTCTTGTGTATTTTAAGATGCCCTACTACATCTGATCATGTAATACAGTTACCTGGCTACCCAAACTCCTTGCTCCGGGCCAAACGCTAAGCCACGCCCACGGAAGTTAGTTTATTCACCGCAATGAGTCTGGATCTGAGTACCTCCCAGACGATTTCTAGAACGCAAACGCATTCTAACCGTTTTGATTGGTCCCAGAAACCGATGGATTGGGCCAGAGCCAGAATATCCGTGGGTAAAACGGCGTTTAGAAAAATGTGTCATTGGCTTTGATACTCTGATTGGTTAGAGATGATCCAATCGATGAAGACTATGTTTTGAACAGCACCCCTCATTTTGACGTTACCACAAACGACTTCAATGATGGCAGTCTCAGAGTAATTCAGTTTGAGTCGTCAGGCAAGCAATACAGAGGACAGAGAAGTAAAGTACAGGTACGTGATCAGTATGTCTGGTAAAACTCAGGTATTCGATCTATACATTCATTATAGGATGTA